GAAACGTTGTGTGCTGTGCTAAATAACTAGATGGATACAAATGTACCGATTCGTCGACCCCCTGTTTCTCCTGCCTAGAGCACCGCTTTGCTACACACTTAGAAATAACTAATTTTACACGTGACGTAATCCATCTTTGACATAAAGGATGAGACGTAAACAAACATGTCATGTAAAATTAAACGCTCCGAGACTGAAATGTTCGATACCCGACGAAAAGTACGTTTGATAAAACTGAATTTTGCGTCTATTATGACTCAATTTTATGTCAAAATTGACGCTCGTATATGTCAGTCTCAGAGCACGTAAATTTACATGAATTTTTCCAAGTGTGTACGAAAACTAAAACGAAAACGAAATACTGCGCAGCGTAGACCCTAGTGATACCGTTCCCTGGCGAATAAACGTAATTTTGATTTGGCGTGTAGCGAATACCGTAATCCAAATTCTTCGCTTTATAAATCGTATACGGTTTACGAGTGCAAACTAACTTGCTAGCGTATTTTACACTGATGCTGAATCGCCTATCGGCGGAGAGAAATGTGAGCTGTTTGCTGCTGATTTTTCTTCAGTATTTTCCGCAAAATTCATCACCTCGACTGAACTTGTCTCGGATGTTTCGGATGTTTTTACGAACTTTGCTGACATGGATAATTTTGAAATAACGCCCGTAATGGTGACTAATGCCGCCAAGAAATGTGAAATGTATATTGTTGCCTGAACCTGACGGCGTTCCTTCTGCAGTGTATTGTTGCGCCATCGGAGGTCTTGCTGAGCCGCTTTGCAGAATAATCAACAAATCTTTTGTGGAGTTGAAATTTCCTGCAATTTGGTAGGTGTCATTTATGGTTCCGGTACACAAGAAAGAAGACAAACGTGACGTTAAAACCGCAGAGCAATCAGTTATCTGTCTCAATACTGTTAGAGATAATTGTGAGTAGTGTCATTCTTGAACGCACCAAATGCTACATCTTTAGTGACCAACATGGCTTCATGCCAGGACGTTCGGTTACCACGAATCTTCTAGATTTTACCACGACCTGCTTTGAGCAATTGGAAAATGGGGCACAAGTAGACGTTATCTGTACTGACTTAAAAGTGGCGTTTGATACGATCAAACCTGAAATTCTGCTGGCGAAGCTATGTAAACTCGGTACGTCAGACCGATTGACGTCGTGCATCATGGTTGTGGTCGTACTTGACCGACAGTTCTCTGGGAGTGAAACTTGATTACAGTACTTCCTCATATTTTACGAGCTCATCAGGTGTGGCACAGGATAGCTATTTTAGTCCGTTGCTGTTTGTTTTGTATTTTAACGACGTACTGCTTCTACTTGGAGATGGCTGTAGACTTGCGTATGCCGATGACCTAAAGCTGTATTTCGTGGCACGGACTGCTGTGGTTTGTATTCGCCTTCTATTGGATTTGTTTGTTGATTGGTGCCGTCGGAATAAGCTTACCGTCAGTATTCCTAAATGTATGGTAATGTCGTATTACCGTATCAATCAGCGAATCGTTTTCGACTAGGTACTTCATCAACGGTACTGTTCTTCAAAGAACCGACCAGTTCAGCTATCTAGGTATTCTACTGGACCATAAGTTAAAGTTTAACCTCCACCGCTCTGCTCTGATAACAAAGGCTAATCGTCAGTTGGGTTTTGCGTCGAAATTATCGAAGGACTTTATTGACGCAGACTGCCTGAAAGCAATCTATTGCTGACTTGTACGACCAATCCTGGAAAATGCCTCCTTGGTCTGGTTTCCTCATCAATTGACTTGGACCTTGAGGGTCGAAAGTGTTCAGCGCAAGTTTATCAGGATGGCATTACGTAATCTACCATGGTGTGATCCGCAAAATCTCTCACCGTATTCTGACCGCTGCAATCTACTGAGTTTGGACAATCTGGAACGCCGATGGAAAAATCAACAGTCAGTTTTTGTTGCCAAGCTATTGAATGGCGAAGTCGACTGCTCGAAGCTTCTCTCACTGTTGGATATCCAAGTGCCATCGAGAACATTACGAAGTGGTATCCTTCTCCAACCACGGTATCATCGTACGGTGATCGGTTACAACGAACTACTAACTTCTATGATGCGTACGTTTTCGGCTGTCGAGGAATCATCTTCACACTTTTTTTGACACGGATTAGAAACACTTGAACTGTTTAGTTTTAAATCAAATGTAGCTGTAACGAAACACATCGTAACTGAATATTATCAAAAGACAACGGAAGATATGAAGGTTTTCAAGCAGTTTCTACATCGTGGAATTAAAACGTTGCTGAGAGTCTTAAGATTAACAAACATCTTAGTTTTATGACATGACGTATGTTTGCTGAGTTTCAGCTAAACATTTTCCGAGACTCAGCAACCAAACGTCACTTTTGCTGAAAACTCGACAAAATATGTTTGCCGGGAGCTCGACTGTGCAAATTTCGGCAAAAATTGCCGAGATTCGGCAAATAAAACTAAGTGTGTATACATCTAGTCAATACTAGATTTAAGAATGTTTACCTAGTTTTCTTGAGCAAAATTTGAACCTAGGCTTTGAATTAAAGTAAAAGACACGCATCGGCTCACCCCTCACCAAAAACATCGCATGAGTGTTTGATAGATACGGTGCTTTCGCTTTGAAAACATACCATACATAACTGTAAACTGAAGTAATATGTGGATCAGAATCAATAGCACGGGCTGATTTCGTTACATATTCGCTATGAAAATCACCGAAATTGTGAGTAGATTTAGTTTATAATCATGTGAATCATTATTGATAAGAATATATAAATTTTACAGCTTTACAGCGTATGGCAACCAGTCTTCACGAAAGCATGTACCATGTTGAGCTTGTGTACAACAATCAAAGCAAATGTTCAGATTGAACTTACGTGCAATCTTGTATCCAGGTATATTTCATACAATACATTCGGGTGTATCGATATTCACAACTGTTAAAACGTATCAAACCGGAATTGTACCATGAATCTAGTGAATATTGGGCCTACGTCTTGAACACTATTTTAAAGCATGGATAACGAAAATATTGAAAGCATATAAGATGCGCTCATATAGTACGGTAACTATTTCGTCCGCCCTTTCTGCTAGCCGTCTCACATATGAGTACAAGCGCATGAGTTTCTACGTGGGTGTAAACTTGTTCATTGTACTTGAGGCAAAAGATCTTAAGAATTCCATAATAACCACCTATGAATTTTAGCCACAAGAAATCGGTATGAATTTCATATATTTACCTTATGAAACAAAATGTTGACAAAATAAAAATTATAAATCGGATCAGACTGGAACCGAACCATGGACATAGAGATTACGGGGCCCGTGTGTTTCCCACTCGTCTTTCAACGGTCGGGAAAATCGTATCGTTAAATGCGTATAAGAGCTACCTCATATTATGTTAGACGAAAAACATTCATAAGTTACGCTTATGAAATTCATATGTGTCGTTCATAAGCCGTGCATTATGAAATTCTTAATTCTATTCAGTGTACAAATGTGCAGGTTGCCCAGATTATTTTTTTCATTATCGGTAGCTTCTCAAAACTTTTATCGGTAGATATCAGTAGGCCGTCTTAAGAAGGCTTTCCCAAAGCTTGAAACCTTTGTGAGTGGGTTTGCAAAACGCATCACGTTCGATTAAACTGACTGACTACACGGAAAACAAAACATAGGTATTGAACATTTTTCAAGATCACTAAAATTCCGTGATTATCGGTAGGAACAGTGAAAAATCGGTAGTTTTGAAACTTTCCTCTGTGAATCGGTATGCATCCCGAAAATGCAGTGAGTGAGTGCAAAACCTTCGTGTACTTTACACACATGTTGTACCGTGAAGACTGATGGCAACAATAGAAAACTACGCGCTCAATTGTTTGTACCGCTAAAAGAATCAGTGCCCGTAACTGCAAAGCATCTATTTCCAATAGACACTGAAGAAAGCTTCACATTTTAGATGAAATACGCGTATCTGTCAGTGAGAAGTAATCAACGTGGTGGAATTTAATGGAAATAACTAATCCTTCTCTATTTCTTTAAACAGGTGTCTATAGACGCTAACATTTTTCAGAAGACACAAATTGAATACGCTTCTTTAAAAAAAATGTTGTAGTAGTTTCTTTTAAATGCTTGTTTCGGGAACACTGCGGATTTTTTATCGCTGACCTGTCGCTACGCCCCTCGATACAGGGTTCAACTAATTTACCGTTTTTCAAAGGCTTAGTGAGCATTTTAGTGTTTTCGGTGTTCAAAAATATAGCTGTCATTTTTAGTACATTCGTCGCTCTTAAACAACTAGGTTCATTGGTTATTTCATGTCAATCTACATATTAGGATTTTTTGTTAGCGTTTATTAGTCTACCGGAGCGCAGAGGAGTAACTACAGCAAAAACCTGCCCAAAATTATTTACTGCTGTTTTGAGTGAGATTTGGCATTGCTTACATTTACACATAGAAATAATTTTCAATAAAAATTTGCCAAATTTGCTCTTAAATGATGGAAAACATACAGTTTTCAAAAGACTCGCAATCGCAAATGTCAATTCGGACCAGTCCGGAGGAGTTCTTATCACAAATGCAAGGCACAAGACAACTTGATATATTTGAGAACATCATGAAAATGAAAATTTCAATAAAATTTTTGATATATTAACTTTAAAAAAGTACAATAATACATAAAAATCACATTTTATTAACATTCTTTCAAAAAAACTAAGGAATTGAAATTTTGATATCATCTAGTTAGCAAGATAGTATAATCAATGTAACAAAATTGGTCTACTAATATGATTGGCGACAAAAAACATGAAAACAAGGAATTAATTTTCTGTGAAATATTGTCTATTGATCATTTTGTTGACCTCTGTATAAGGCCTGTTACTAAATGATTGATGAAAAAAAAATAAAGCTCTAAATTATGTCAAATTTCAAACATTTCCTAAAGTTTGTAAACATAATAAATCGTATTTTAACCGTTGTCACCCTGTGCAGTACATAATTAAGTGTATACACATATAAAGCTACATAGAAAACCTCAAAAAAAAAGCTGTTCCTTAGTTTGGCCAGTTTTTTTTTCTAGGTACTCCTCTGTGTGGCGTCCGATAGATGGGTTGAAGCTACATCTCTTCTTTATTTAGCGAATAATAATCCAGGTCTGGAATTAAATCGATTAGCTGTTGGTAGAGTTACGCTTTTCAGCAAAATAAAGCTTGTCAGTCTTGGCATGTACCGTTTCCGATCCAATGCCTTGCGCTTGCATTTTCTTTTATGGAAGTAAGCAAACTTAGTAGGCGCCATTAATGCTGATCAATCCAAATAAACAGGTGCCTGAGAACCGGTTGAATGAATACAACATCAAGCATAAACTTTGAGTGTGCCTGAAACAATCAATAGAGGTTATTGATTGGGTGATTCAATATTTATTTGGGAGAAATTTCCGGTAATCGTGGACCTACTCCACTACTTCAGTTGTTTGATTTTCTTTATGTCACTATTCCTTCTGATATTACTTTCGTCTCTTTGTTGCAGCGAAAGATTCCACCTATTCTGCTCATTTACCTAGAGATATTTTACGCCACTTTAGATAGCTTGCGGGAAAATGTGTTCACGAACGTTGACTTAAGTAATCCAGACACCAAACGGGAAATTCGGCTCTATGGCTACTGTGATGCCTCTCGCTGCTCTTCCTTTACACACACTCACACTCACACACACAAACACGCACACATAATCGGCAGTGGTTGGTGGTGGCGTGATCCTACTTATTTTTTGGTAGATGTCGCTTCATGTGCAACGCCAAGTGGTCACTCCGGGCGAAGCTCCTCTCACAGACGATGCACTTGAACGGTTTGGCACCGGTGTGTTTACGGTAGTGCCTCGTCAGTTCATCGGACCGCGCGAAACGCCACTCGCACTCGGGCCACTGGCAGGTGTACGGCTTTTCGCCTGTCAAATAGAAGATGAAGAGAAAAGTCAAATATTAGTGTTTGCAAACAAGCCGAAGCAATTGAAGAGGTAGCCGCGGTTGGCTTTGCTCGCGGTTTACATGGGAATGTACTTTTTACGATGGGAGAATACTTTGGCACGTACAAAACCATCATCTTCGCAGAGCTGGCTGATGGATTGATGTGAGGTGGGTTCACGATGATCGTAGCCGGTAATGTCTGTAATTTCATCTTTTATTGTTATTGTTATGGCACACATTCTGCATTCTGTGTGACGATCGCTGGAAGGCAGATGACCTTTATTCTAGAGTTAATGAAACCAACATCGGTTGATAGACTTTTCAAAATTTCTATGGATCGAAACAACAAATTTCAGCTGACTTTTCTTATGCTACCATCACACATGAATCGTAAACCGACCGCCATTCATCTGTCATCCACAAACAAACAACAATGAAAATGTGCCAACTTCCAACCTATTTGCGAGATTTTGATTCATTGCACAAATGCATCGAGTGCGGAGGTTGCCCTGCGTGTCTTGAATCTGCAGGAGAGATTGCAGTGCGCATATGTACGTGTAGGTATACATACATCTACGGACGAGGGAAGGCGAGATTTATGACTATTTTAACGATTATGATGGCTTTTAAAAATGATTGCAAAATGCCCGATGTGCATTGGGTAGACGAGGATCGCATCGGTCGGTGGCGGATGCCAGTTGCAAATATAGATGCGTGATGGAGAAATTAGTCGCGTTTGCTGCTGCCGTTGCGGAGATAGCCGCACACCAGACACCGACCGCAGACCGCAGCGGTTGAAGGTGAACTATCCGTTAATGGTTAATGGGATGCGCGGAAGCCGTGGGAATTGATCGATGCCGATTAGGAGGAGTTAGATGAACTCCGTCTCCGTCAGTCGGGAGGGAAATGAACTCGTTAACTGGAGATCTGTGCGGGATGACAAGAGACGAACCCGGGCGGCGTCGTTCTCGTGTATATTATGAGCTATGAACTGCACTTGATTGATGGTGAGTTTGATAGAATGTTTTACGATTTGAACTTACTTTAGATAAGTGGAAGCTTAAAAGCCCTAGTAGTGTTTTGTCATAAATTATGGAATTTAGTTTGTTATGTAAAGTCATCAAATGTGATGCTAAGTGATTTTAAATATTCATCCAAGTAACATTGCAAGTTTGATTGAAGTTTTAAAGCATTCTACAAGTCTAAATCATCGAACTGTTGACACAAGCAGCTGGGTGGTTTTTTTTCCGGTGCGAGTCACGTGATAGATTGTTTTTCGATAGCAACTCATTGTTGCGGTGCTTGCTCATTGTTTGAAGTTGCCTCACACAGTTCAAAAAAGTAGTGTAAATTTCTGTTTAGGATGATGCACATATATGGAGCGTCACATATCATATAAGTTTACATTATATATCATGTAAAGTTATGAGACATTTCATGGAATGTAGCAAATATTGTATACAAAAGCCCATTATTGTAAACAACATTGTTTACAAGTTGCTCGGTTGCGTGAAATGAAATACAAGTTTACGTGAAACAATGTTTACATCACAATTAAAATTCAGAATTTTTATCTGTGCAGAGTACCTAAATTTACATAAATTTTTCTAAGTGTGATAGTGAAGATGTCGGTGGAAGTAAAACTGACATAGGGGAATTTACGTATTCTCGTCAATCTAAGCAGCTTCCGCACTTCTATTAGCATTTTCTCAGTGTCACGCACACATATGATGTGTCTGTTTGTTAACATTCATCTGCTGCTAGCTATTTTATCCATTCCAATCAACAAAACTGTCCAAAACGGTTTGAAAACGTTTTTAAGGCGCTACAAACTTCTCAGGTGAGTGTGACTATTGTCGGCAGCCTCTTTTACTTCGGCAACCTTTCCGTTTAAACTGCGTGTAAACCAGCTGTTCTATTATCGGCAACTCGAAATCAGCCGTATTTTGATGTGCTTATGTTTCTTTTGCAGAAACACCTGGCATAACAGGTTTGCTCAGTCGTAAAAATGTATTAGGATTGAAGCTGAAAAACTAAGGAATCGTTTAAATACATTCAGCGAAGTGTTTTAGTGAGAAAATACACCGAAATTAACGTTTAAATTGTGGTTGCCAAAAACAGTCGATGGCTGCCGAAGCCATCATTTACCCTATTTTGTGAAATCGCTGGATGCGGATCCCACTCAAATGACCGCTACACACTTAATCACGGCTTCCGTGTTCGGTAATTTTTTTTACAGTTTTCGAACTGTAAATCACAAAAATTACCGAACATACAGCTATTCTCAATAAAACAACTGATGATCAGTAGCTCTTGCGACAAACTACTGAATACGGTAAGAGTAACTACTGAACTTATCGTAAAATAACAGCTTTGCGGATAATGACTGAACCTCAGTAAAATAGAGTACCGAGTTTTTTGTATTCGTTATGTTTTACTGGAGCAGTCATCAATCGAAATTCCAACTTTGCTGATACTGACAGTAAAGCAAATTTCTTATGTCATCCTCCTCGATTCAACCTCACACTTGACGTCGGAAATCTTCTCGTGAAAACAAGAAACCATTGTGAAAATCAGTGAAACATCTGGAAGTCAAGACAGGATTGCATAAACCACCCCGAAATTTATCAGTTTCTGCACTCCTGCATTGACTTTCAGATGTTAGTTTGAAGAAAGAAATTTCACTAAAATTTCCTATTATAGAGCTTCAGACTTAGGTACCCAATCCGGCACATCGAAAGAGCCACCACCCGACTAAACCACCTGGAAACTCAGACCGCTCAATCTGGACTAATTAAAGCAGCATTACTGCTAATCCGCCACTAAACTCCGTCCCCAAATACATATCGCTAATTCGAAATGTTTTAATCGAATGAACCCAAACAAATAATGAAATAAAACATTGTTGATGAATTTACTGACTTATTCATTAAAAAAATAAAATAAAAATACTGAAAAACTCCGCAAAAAACTATGTAAACAAATAAATTACTGAATAAAACAGCAATACTAGTACTGACTAACACGGTAATTTTTGACAGTTCAGAGATTCTGCGATTTACGGAGTTTTCAGCAATAGCAAAAACTACTGGGTTGATTACTGAAAACTCAGCTGTTTAAAAACCCAGTAAAATTTTACTCTGTGTGTACATACCGCATTGCGGAGGAAAAAAATCTATGTTCAACAAGTTCAAATCAGAGGATTCGATGCTTTATTGTTTGCTAAGCAACCGTGAACAATATTTTTCCATTATGCCGATGGGATGTCAGTCTAGGTACGCATGTCGCCTGTTGGGGGCACCGTTTAATACGTGAGAGTTTACGACCTACCACCAGAAGTCCCGGATAGCGAACAAGCATTGGTGCTAGGGAAACGGGAGAAATTTCCAGCTACCTTGGGCCTAGATGTGCTTACAGGTGTGTGAGGATGTAAAAATGGAGATTACTAACTCACTGCATTCTCTTAATTGGAAGGGAAACATATTCTACCAAAGGAACAAAAATGTGTGTTTCCTTTGTAAGACGGAGGGGCATCGGATGAATTCCTGCTCCAAGCAGAAGCATCGGAAGCAGCCAGTACAACAACGAACGGAAGAAGAAAACCAACAACGGAATGAGGAAGAGACCAGTACGTACGCTGCTGTAGTGACTGGAGGTGCATCGCCAAACGAGGGAGCGGTTTAGATCCTGGAAGAAGAGGTGGTAGTGACGGATATGACGTCCCCGGACGCCGAGAAGAACAATGGAGATGAAGCAAGCGCTGCTGAAAAGCAGCAGCCATCTGTTTTCAATTACACAACGTATTATGTACTACTACAAATTCGGGATAGTGGACTATACCGAGAAGAAGCGGATAAAGGTCGAAGAGGAGGCCAAGCGGCTGGCGCTGCTGAAGAAAAAACAATTGGTAGAAGCAAGGGAGTTGAGGGCACGGATGAAAACGGAAGCTAAACTCAAGTCGCCTCCAAGGAAGAGTAAGAAGAACTCATAAACTATGTCCCTCTTAATACTTTAATGTAATTATAAAATAATTTAATGGTTCTCGGCTTCGTGGAGTCTTTTTGGACATTTGAGCCTAACAAATAAACTATTGACAGAACCAAAGTTGTTAATCGATGACATTAGCTCATTCCGTGCTCTCAAATTAGTGTTCTAGATGCACTTCCACAGTTAATAATTGAGAGTTTTCGGTGCCTGTACCAATTTTGCATTAGTATAATTTTGTGGCAAGTATAATCATACTCTATGCCTAGACCGGACCGGGAATCGAACCCAGCCACCTACAGCATGGTCTTGTTTTGTAGCTGCGCTTTTACCCCCTTACAACGATATGGAAACAAAGGAAGTAGTTGAGGTGCTTGAGGAAGCGGAAGCGAAAATGAGTGTTACGTCCTCCGGAGACTGAGAGGAGCAGTAGAGAGGATGTAAGTGATGATCAGAAACAGATGCCGCCTGTTTTCAAGCATATTATTTTGACATATTGTCTAACGGTTTCACACGTCTTTAATCATTAATAACTGTTCAACAATTTTTTATCGAAAAGCGATCTTCACAAAGAAGAAAATTTGCTTTAAATGTAGCTTACTAGAGTTTTATCACATCAATGTGGTGTGAGAAAAGACTAAGAAATCACGTACAAAAAGTTTGATTTTGCCATATTAATTACCATACAAACTTAATTTGGTTTGTGCTAAATCCAGTGGCGTCGCGTAACCTCATTTTTTACCTGTGTACCAACTTTCAAAACCAGATTTAATGCCATATTCATATTCGAATCGGTTGAAAAATATACTTAATCTTCTAGTTTACTCAATACCTAGCAAGCAATATTTTGATAATTGTTTATGTTTTGAGAGTTGGTGCACAGGTAGATTGAAGTTAAGGAAACGCCACTGGCTAAATCAGTTTTCAATCAAATGAGTTCAAACATTGGGAGAATTATCTGAACTGTCGGGCAAAAATTAAAAAAAAAATTGCATTA